TATATTTCTACTCCATCACAAAATTTAGGTTTTTCCCCACAAAAAAACAAAGTTAATAGACTATAATCCATGACATATATTATTTATAAAATAGGTAATAAATAAAATAAAAAATCAAGCTAGAATTTATTTATATTTACCATAATTCACATTGAATTATGGTTTATTAGATGTAAATATATTCAATATGTTTCTTCTTTATCACCAAATTTCATCTTTCTTCGTCGGTAAGCCACAAAGTTAATAGACTATAAAACATAATAGATGTAAACAATTTCTATATTTTTCTTCTTCTCCGTCACCAAAATTTTGGTTTCTTAACCTCTAAGAAACTAAGTTAAGAGACTACAAATTAATGACCCGTAATTTATACATATGCGTAATATTAAAATTAAATAATCAAGCTCAATATTGTTTATACTCATCGTATTCACATTGACCTATGGTACATGACATCTAAAAATGTTAGATATTTTTCTTCACCATCCCAATGTTTTAGGTTTTTTAATCACTATGCCGAAAACATAATTGACTATAGTACATGTAAAAAATTAATTATATTTTATATTTCTACTCCATCACAAAATTAAGGTTTTTCCCCACAAGAAAACAAACTTAATAGACTATAATCCATGACATATATTATTTATAAAATAGGTAATAAATAAAATAAAAAATCAAACTTGAATTTATTTATATTTACCATAATTCACATTGAATTATGGTTTATTAGATGTAAATATATTCAATATGTTTCTTCTTTATCACCAAATTTCATCTTTCTTCGTCGGTAAGCCACAGAGTTAATAGACTATAAAACATAATAGATGTAAACAATTTCTATATTTTTCTTCTTCTCCGTCACCAAAATTTTGGTTTCTTAACCTCTAAGAAACTAAGTTAAGAGACTACAAATTAATGACCCGTAATTTATACATATGCGTAATATTAAAATTAAATAATCAAGCTCAATATTGTTTATACTCATCGTATTCACATTGACCTATGGTATATGACATCTAAAAATGTTAGATATTTTTCTTCACCATCCCAATGTTTTAGGTTTTTTAATCACTATGCCGAAAACATAATTGACTATAGTACATGTAAAAGAATTAATTATATTTTATATTTCTACTCCATCACAAAATTTAGGTTTTTCCCCACAAAAAAACAAAGTTAATAGACTATAATCCATGACATATATTATTTATAAAATAGGTAATAAATAAAATAAAAAATCAAGCTAGAATTTATTTATATTTACCATAATTCACATTGAATTATGGTTTATTAGATGTAAATATATTCAATATGTTTCTTCTTTATCACCAAATTTCATCTTTCTTCGTCGGTAAGCCACAAAGTTAATAGACTATAAAACATAATAGATGTAAACAATTTCTATATTTTTCTTCTTCTCCGTCACCAAAATTTTGGTTTCTTAACCTCTAAGAAACTAAGTTAAGAGACTACAAATTAATGACCCGTAATTTATACATATGCGTAATATTAAAATTAAATAATCAAGCTCAATATTGTTTATACTCATCGTATTCACATTGACCTATGGTACATGACATCTAAAAATGTTAGATATTTTTCTTCACCATCCCAATGTTTTAGGTTTTTTAATCACTATGCCGAAAACATAATTGACTATAGTACATGTAAAAAATTAATTATATTTTATATTTCTACTCCATCACAAAATTAAGGTTTTTCCCCACAAGAAAACAAACTTAATAGACTATAATCCATGACATATATTATTTATAAAATAGGTAATAAATAAAATAAAAAATCAAACTTGAATTTATTTATATTTACCATAATTCACATTGAATTATGGTTTATTAGATGTAAATATATTCAATATGTTTCTTCTTTATCACCAAATTTCATCTTTCTTCGTCGGTAAGCCACAGAGTTAATAGACTATAAAACATAATAGATGTAAACAATTTCTATATTTTTCTTCTTCTCCGTCACCAAAATTTTGGTTTCTTAACCTCTAAGAAACTAAGTTAAGAGACTACAAATTAATGACCCGTAATTTATACATATGCGTAATATTAAAATTAAATAATCAAGCTCAATATTGTTTATACTCATCGTATTCACATTGACCTATGGTATATGACATCTAAAAATGTTAGATATTTTTCTTCACCATCCCAATGTTTTAGGTTTTTTAATCACTATGCCGAAAACATAATTGACTATAGTACATGTAAAAGAATTAATTATATTTTATATTTCTACTCCATCACAAAATTTAGGTTTTTCCCCACAAAAAAACAAAGTTAATAGACTATAATCCATGACATATATTATTTATAAAATAGGTAATAAATAAAATAAAAAATCAAGCTAGAATTTATTTATATTTACCATAATTCACATTGAATTATGGTTTATTAGATGTAAATATATTCAATATGTTTCTTCTTTATCACCAAATTTCATCTTTCTTCGTCGGTAAGCCACAAAGTTAATAGACTATAAAACATAATAGATGTAAACAATTTCTATATTTTTCTTCTTCTCCGTCACCAAAATTTTGGTTTCTTAACCTCTAAGAAACTAAGTTAAGAGACTACAAATTAATGACCCGTAATTTATACATATGCGTAATATTAAAATTAAATAATCAAGCTCAATATTGTTTATACTCATCGTATTCACATTGACCTATGGTACATGACATCTAAAAATGTTAGATATTTTTCTTCACCATCCCAATGTTTTAGGTTTTTTAATCACTATGCCGAAAACATAATTGACTATAGTACATGTAAAAAATTAATTATATTTTATATTTCTACTCCATCACAAAATTAAGGTTTTTCCCCACAAGAAAACAAACTTAATAGACTATAATCCATGACATATATTATTTATAAAATAGGTAATAAATAAAATAAAAAATCAAGCTTGAATTTATTTATATTTACCATAATTCACATTGAATTATGGTTTATTAGATGTAAATATATTCAATATGTTTCTTCTTTATCACCAAATTTCATCTTTCTTCGTCGGTAAGCCACAGAGTTAATAGACTATAAAACATAATAGATGTAAACAATTTCTATATTTTTCTTCTTCTCCGTCACCAAAATTTTGGTTTCTTAACCTCTAAGAAACTAAGTTAAGAGACTACAAATTAATGACCCGTAATTTATACATATGCGTAATATTAAAATTAAATAATCAAGCTCAATATTGTTTATACTCATCGTATTCACATTGACCTATGGTATATGACATCTAAAAATGTTAGATATTTTTCTTCACCATCCCAATGTTTTAGGTTTTTTAATCACTATGCCGAAAACATAATTGACTATAGTACATGTAAAAGAATTAATTATATTTTATATTTCTACTCCATCACAAAATTTAGGTTTTTCCCCACAAAAAAACAAAGTTAATAGACTATAATCCATGACATATATTATTTATAAAATAGGTAATAAATAAAATAAAAAATCAAGCTAGAATTTATTTATATTTACCATAATTCACATTGAATTATGGTTTATTAGATGTAAATATATTCAATATGTTTCTTCTTTATCACCAAATTTCATCTTTCTTCGTCGGTAAGCCACAAAGTTAATAGACTATAAAACATAATAGATGTAAAC